AAACATAAAACGCTGCTCACTTAGTGGGTTTTTAAGGCACTTATGTGCGGACACTCTATATTGGAGCATTGAAGAAAAGTTCGTAACCGCTTTATAGTGGAGGGACGCCTCAATCACGGTTAATAACCGAACGACGATCAGAGCGTCGTTAATTCGGCGCCGTTATCGTTTGTGGCATGAAAGCAGCCCCAGCCACATGCAAAACGCGCCTTGGAGGGKAACTTTTGAAACTTTTTCCACCCATTTGGCAGTGACTTAAAACTGTTTTTGAAGAGTTTCACATTTTATTTGACTTTCTCTTGGAAAATTTACATAATCTTCGGGTAATGAACTGGTGAGCCTAAACGCAATGGGAACTAAACTGGCCTAGATGGGATGACGTCACGTAAGCACTTGGACCTTCTTCTAGGACGCGATAGCCCAATTCTATTCAAAAATCATGAAAATCGATTTAAAACTGCCAGCGCAAAACACAGCAGCGTGCACAAACAAGGGCAAAGCCCGTTCCGCATTATTCCAAGTGTTTATTATCCGGAAAATCGGTCCAGACTAGGAAGTAAGATTCCGATCCGCACAATAGAAAGGTAACCGACGATCCAATTACACGCCAGTTTACATACAAAGCGATCTCCTAAAGTGCAAAACTGGCTTTGTTACCTGCATAACATGCTGGTCGACTTTGCTATGCGGCGAAGACAGACAAACAAAGCTCACGCCATGATCGTGAACTAACGGCTGGACTGGATGATAATCGTCCACATCCACATCGTATTCCGTTTCGAACTCGGCACTTTGAGCTGGAGTCGCTGCCAAAACTCGGCTCTCGTTTGGATGCGATGCCCTAAAAACAACACGCAAACTTGCGGAAAAGAGCTGGTGAATAAACGCGCCAAACTCACTTGAGATAATTGATCAGACTGATCGTTGGACTTAGGCGATTTCTGGTATGGTAGTGTTCATGGCAGAGCGAAATGTGATCCATTACGGCCTGCGTTCGATAGATTTTCTCCAGGTTGATCAGTCCTCCAATTTTGGTAAAATGATGGTCCTCTCCATTGTAATCTGATATGAACTGTGAAAGACGAGAGGAAAACCTTAAGGCTGGGGTGACAAAAGTGGTACATTCTCACAGGGTCACAACAAACCATCCACTAAAATATTAAGCACTTTCGAACAGCCAAACGTAGAGAGGGTTATTCACGCTATACGGCAGGGAAGTTTGCGGCTAAACCGTTTGATTTTTTAAAAGTATTATTTTCTGAATTGTCCGACGCCTACCGAGCGCCCATTGTAAAAATATTTTTGTAATGTACAGGGTGTCCCAAACGCTCTAAAGGTATCAAAGTTGCGTTTTTTAAATGGAATGTCCTGTATATTATTGCATTTTTGGATTCGCTGATCAAAATAAGTGTCTGTTTTAATAAGGTTTATAATACCTAAATCTTAAGGTTTTTTA